TTCTTTTTAAGTGTTATCAATCTCTAAGTGTAATTGTAAATTTCCTCTGGATTTTGGAACTGCGGGCTCAGATTCCTCCCAGGTTTGGGTTCCAGTCTTCCCTCTTTTCTTTTTTTCCGAGTTTTTTTTTTTTTCTCCTTTTTTGTTTAATTGTTTTCTTTTTTTTTTACTTATATTCACAATGGTTTTTCCATCTGGATTTCCACGAGGTTCTTTTTTTTTGTTGTTGTTGTTGTTTTTTTTCTTTCTCTAATTGCCCAACCACTCTCCCATAGTTTCCGCGTTTTCACGAGTCCCCCCGAAGGTATTTTTCATCTCAATTGGCCAGTACTTCCAAGTGTGCGATATGCTAAGCTTCTTTTACTTTGGGCTGTATTAAAGATTGATTAATTTGAGGGAATATACTGGCTACAACCGTAGACAAAATAATAAAAAATTAACACAGAAAAGGAAAATTCAAGCTCACGAAACTTGTAGGAGGGTGTAAATCCAGTCATTTTAAATAATACAATTCTTACCAAAAATAAAGTACATATTTATTAAAGACATTTAAGTACAATCTATGTGTACGAATGTTGCACTTTTTACTCGCTTTTTACAAGACAGCAAGATGTTTCAAAAAAAAAAAAAAACGAGATGCCCTTGAGAGAATAACCATTGCAAGGCAATCATTGCCGCATTAAATACAATACTACAGACAATATGATACCTGAAATATCTTCGTCTCATGATCACTTAGTTCGACTCACGGGATTGGGGAGGGAGGTATTCCTGAGAATTCTTGCCCCACTAAGGGTATACTACTCGGTTCTCTAAATCATGACCAAAAAATGCCATTTTCCAGACCCGTTTTCAAACATGGCCCGTAAAATTCATACCCGTAGAAATCATGGTATCATTACTGGACAGGAAGATTACTGAAAAAAAAGATCTATCTCGAATTCGCATATTACGCCTAAGAAATCATCTTTCTCGTATTCCTTCTTTCTCATTCATTTGGGATTGAAATTACAAATACGTTCATAAACTCCCGCAGTTCATTGGAGAATTTTACCCTACTCCAGACCCGAAAATAGACGAAGTCAATACCCGTTTTCAGACCGAAACAACGCAAATACCTTGCCCACATACCTATATACCTTAGAGGGAGTAACCTCCCCCACACACATCCCCCGTGGTTAGTCCCCTCCCTCCGTGAGTAGTCTAAACATGAATGAAAGGAATGGAATAAGCCAGGGTATAATATATCATTATTGGCTCTTTTGCAAATAAAATCATATATACTTGAACCGTAATGAAGGCACTATTTACATCAAACGTACGCGTAACGCAGTCCTAAAATTGAGTGAGTAAACCAAGTGGAATAAAGTACACTTGTTGGCTTTCTAAAGTAGTGTCACGTACTGAATGTAAGTTCGTCTAGATCTGAATGCTAACCTCGACTCAGGGATCGTTTGTTAGGAAACTATCTTTCCCTTTCATTATCATTGCTATCGACACTAGCATTAATAATGATAATAAAAAAGTGACTGATATAATAAAATGTGATTGACAAAACTAAGAGCCTGAAAATTTCTGAATTAAACGAAAACAGCAAAGAAGCACACACACTACATGTATTAAGCTCCGCGGTATGGCCAGTACCTTACGGATGCGCACAGCCATTTCAGCGATATAAGTGGTTTTGGATATCTCTGACAGTGTTTAAATAAGTAAAACTTGAGTTAAAGGAATATCAATATAGAACTCCATCGACAAAAAAAAAATTCAGCACTGAAGCACACACTGCCAACTGCGTGGTATGGCTAGTACCTTACGCATGCGCACAACTATAATATATCACCCAGACAATGGAAGCCATGGAGAGCTGTTTCACCCTTTGTCGAGACTTTAAATGCTTCGCACCAGAACTTAGAGTCCTCGTTAACTGGGATCTTCCAGATCTTCAACAGTGACGTCTTCTGATTTATTATGGAGTTGTAATTGACTGCCGGACGATTCCCAAAACATGTTAACTTTAGCGGATGATTTTGGTCTCAGTGAACCCCTTTTTTGACAATAAACGAGGGCTGAAACAAGAGTTATCAGCAATATGAAAACTGCAGTGGCTATCAAGACAACGTACAAAGTTTTAAGGCGTCTGTTCCCACTATCCGAATCCTCCGTTTTGTGGGGACTGCCATCTACTTTTACAATGATAGAGAAGACTTGAAACTGTCTTACGCCGGTGCTGCGTGATGCTAGTGTGGCCGTCACGTTTACTTGCGTGACGGTTTTTGTAGCGGCATCAGATTGAGACGTCAGGATCAACAGGCAAGAAGTGGACCGCATTGTCTTGAGAAAAACGTGAGATGGCTCAACATTTCCATCCAACGAGGATTGATTCGTGAGCACCTGTTGACCAAAAAATAACAATAAAAAAAGACGCGTGACGCGTGACGCGGCATTTGCATGGTGGTTAGAGAGATGTCATGTGGGTATAAAAAGTGACAAATAATTGTTTTGGAAGATTTTGCTATGGGAACAGTTATTGTTTTAGAAAAAGTATTATTTTAATGGTTACGAGTTCCTCGAGGGACAGAATTCGCGCTTTACTGAGTAGCAAAACTCAGTGAAAGATACTTCTGTTGATTTCCGGCCGCCATGTTGGTGTCCATCCGAATGACCACCAACATGGCGCTTTCATACAAAGCTCTACAAATTTAGGTAAATCATTTCCCCGAATATCTTGAATATGAGAACTTGTAATGACTACTGAATCTTGGCGAGGATCTTTGCTTATTCACATCCTTCTATTTCCCTTTGATTGAAGGTTTTTTTTTGTTTTTCTTTTTCTTTTTCTTCAATTATTTTTGATTGCGTCATCAGAGAAAACCAGCAATTAGTGCAACAGAGTTACTAATTCTTTACCTACGGCAGGGTAGGCTCGATTTCCGCCTCTTTCTCTCTCTCGTGTTATTTCACAGCCGGTTAATTTTGTACGGAGTAAAAATTGCTTACGTGAAATGTGAAGGTGTCGTCCAACGCTAAATTCTGTACCGTGAAATTGACCTCTAGTCTTCCCCCATCCGTCAGAGAGAAACGATCTTTGGTTACAGCAGCTTCTAAAGCCAAATGAGGAAAGGCTGGCACCACAGACACTTGGATAGAAAATAATGCCACCTCTTTGAGATTTACATTGCTTAATTGTGAGACAGCGTTGACCGTCAAGTTTAGCACCTCATTGACTTCACCACGTGACTTGATGACCACGTGACACACAGCACTGGCATTCGTTGGCAGAATGAGGCTTAAAGGCATAACGTAACTGATGAGTGCAGGCGTTTTTGTCACTTCAAATAAGAAGGAACCATTAGAGCCGAGGTTGAGTAGTGTAAAAGGGATCTTGATGGTGTTCCCAGGATAAAGGGACACAGCTGTGTTGCTTGGTTTGGCACTGAGGGACACAATATCAGGAACAAGGCTGACAGAACAAGTGCCCATGTTACCAACGAGGTCAAGACCGACGAAAAGCACACTGGGATGACAACAGTTAGATGTGAAAGAAGCTGTGATGGATATGTTTACTGCACCCAGATTAAAAGCATTGACTAAAACAATAATAAATACACAAGAAAATAAGTGTCGCATTCGTCTGCTAAGCATAAGAAATTTTACACCTTCTCATCTCAGAGTCTGTGAGACAATCATTCAACAACTGTCAAAAGCACTATTAAACACACTAATTGAGCGTAAATAATGACGTAATTAATCGTCAAAGTCACAGAGTGTACTAAGGGTGTATAAACGTCACCTACCTTGCAGAGTTCCATTGTCGTTGCCTTGTGTTGCTATCGACGCCAGACCTTCTCCAGTATCGATGAAAACGACACGTGCATGCCACGTGTTCAACATGCACTTTGATCTGTCATGTGTATTGTTGCAAGATCTAGTTTGGTTAATTACTGTACATGATGGAGGAGAAAGATCTGGGTTCTGCAAGGTTTAATTAAATTGAATGTTTTCAGAAGATAGTTTTAAAATTAAAGAGTTGATAAAACAAACTGGCCACCATAGAAAGATTAAGCTCACTAGTAACCATGGCAATGGACCATTACTTTCGTTTGGTAATAGGGACTTTAAGATCTGACAACGCGGTGGCAACGATAACGTCAAAAAAAACAATAGGTTTGGTGGGCAAAACAATAACTTTGCACTCCAGGCATCACACTTTTTTAGTTTACCATTCGTGCAGGTCGACGACGTGACATTGCCTAATTACACGTTTTATAGAGGACGTAAACAGTCGAAGACGAATTTTTATTTCTCTTTCTGAACTTGGATATTGTCCCTAGGAATTCAGCTCCAGGAGGGTTGTCCTACATTAAAGTAAGTGCATGGGTAGGAATTATCGCGAGAAAGGCTAAAAGAACGCAAATTCACTTTTCAAAACAATGTTTTTGCTGCCATCACTTCCTTGGGTCTTAAAGTCCCTAAAGAAATATGTTTGACGAACTAATGAACACCAAAAAAGCAACAAATCAATTGAACAAAGTTCAAGTTAGTTGATAGTATATGACTGTTTTATATAGTACTACATGAGAAATTTCTCCAATTTGATTGGCTTGGAGCAGTGGTATTTCAGCTTAATTTGAAATACCTACATGTGGAAATTACAAACCTTTTGCGGGTAGCAGTATAAACAAATAATAGCATGATTTGTACGTGATATTTGGCATAAGTTCCAATTGTTATATTTCAAAATTGTCTCAAATTTCACTCGCCTAACGGCTTGTGAAATTACGTATAGCAATGTTGAAATATCACTCGTGGTATTTATGTCAAATAGCACTACAAATCATGCTATTACCTATACAAATTGCAGCCAAATCGAAGAAATTTTAGATCAAAAGGTTACACAGCTTACTCCAGAAAGGCGGCAAAAGTAGTTATTCTTTTGTCTTTATGATAATTGGCCCTTAATACATCGTTGTAAGGTAAAGCTGGTTTGAATTGTACGCATTTAATTGAGGCAAAGAGCGCTAAAAAAAACATATAAACGAAAAATAATAAAAGCAATATTGCCGCCATTTTTGAATAAAATTTGGGTATCACAAAAAGTTTACCTTGTTTCTAGATAAAACCACTTGAATAGAAAATAACGCGATCTTTCTTTCATGTACTGTTCCTGGGTGTATAACAGCTTTGACCGTCAAATTTTGCGGCTTTCTGACCTCACCACGTGACTTTATAACCACTTGTCCAGCGGTACTGGCATTCGCTTTCAGAACGAGGCTAAAAGGCATTACGTAACTAATAAGTGCGGGTGTTTTAGTCACTTCAAATGAGAATGAACCTTTAGAGCCCAGGTTGACGAGTTTAAAAGGGACCTTGGTGGTGTTTCCAGGAGAGAGGGACAGTGTTGTGGTGCTTGGTTTGGCTCGCATGGACACTATATCAGGTACAAGGCTGATGGAACATGTGCCCATATTTCCTACAAGGTCAAGCCCGACGAAAAGCACTCCAGGATGACAACAGTTAGATGTGTATGTTGCAACGATCGATTTGTTTACTACACCCTGATTGAACCTGCCAACTAAAAAAATAAAAACAAATATTTCAAGACTCGAAACTTTGCATGAAGTGTTGAAGTGTTATATAATTTCAAGGGGGGTATTACACAAAAATATCGCTTTGTACATGAGGTTACATCTACGCAAAAGCAGCTTCTTCGGTGAAAATTGAATTTGAAACCGAACTGGTCAATAGTGAAACATCGATCCGCTATACTCCATTCGAGAAATATTCTTTTGTTTGTTTGTTTACGATTTTGTTTTTTGTTTGTTTTGGCTTCAGCAGAGATAAGGAAATCTCCGAGAAGTTTTCTATAATTGGTCTTCGTGAAGGACAAATGTCTTCTATTGGTCCATTTAAGTTCGCGCAAAAAATTGACCCATACTACGTGAGTCATCGTAACTAGAAAAACCTATTTTTCCTGGAAAGTTGTATAAACTAAAGTAAAGGTTAAACCACTTATGTTTTTTGCTTCAAGTATAAATTTCCAGTTACATCGCCTTTAAACGAAACCCCACTTTTTCGTTTGCGAACATGATACAAATGCAAATTTTCAACATAAAGCTGTGCATCGACTTCATGTTCATTTCACTCTACGTGTTGCACTTACCTTCAAGGGTCCCGTTTTTATTGCCTCGTGTTGTTATCGATGACAGTCCTTCTCCAGCATCAATGAACATGACTTGCGCTTTCCACGCGTTTAAGATGCAGTCCGGTCTGCCGTATACCTTTGCACATGTCCCGGTCTTGTTTACCACTGTACATGAGGGAGGGTCAAGGTCAGGGTTCTATAAATTGAAAGACGTGATGTAATTAAAAAACAAAGGCTATCTTATTAAAGTCAACGAGAAAATACGTATTAATAGCAATGACTGAACGACTGAAAACGCGTTTTCTCCAACAATAGATAGGAGCAAATGTGTTTAGAAATTTAAAAGGGGTTGGTTTCTGAAGAAACTGTGTGGTGGAACAACAGGAAAATGTGGTGTTAACAACTGAGTTGTCAAAGCAAATCGACCATCTTAGAGAGAGAAAATAATCTCCCTACGGTGTTCAAGAGCAAAGAATAATTCTCTGTAGGATTGGCTATGTTTCAGTCATCGATAAACAAACAGTTTCTTTTTACATGGCTGAATTCGCAAGCGGGCAAGATGAAGCGAATAATCATGCATTCTGATGGGGCCATCTTGCCCGCTCGGGATTTCCCGCGCTGGTCCCGCAAGCAAAAGTTCTCCAGTTTAGCGATATAATGAATCATTTATTTACCAAGCTTGTTCAGTCAAGTTGGCCAAATATTGGCCTCGTTTTTTATTTTATTATTATTATTATTATTATTATTATTATTTTGCGTTTTTATTTCCCGAGACGAAGTTAAAAAAGAACGCAAAAAAAGAACTTGGCCAAGGCTCGAGACACTCCCTGAGAAGCCTGTTCGGGGGAGGAGCGCGGGCTCATTACCCGATCAGCGGCTGGTAATTGAGCCTAATGTCCTGTCCAGCCATCTTGACCTCACGCTTGGTCGATAACGCACATATAGCGACTGAGAGTAAGTAGCCTGTTTACAATTGGTTAGTTTCCGGGGACTGCCCGAGTACGGTATATCGTTTGGCACTAATGTGAAGACACCCTTTTTTCAAGTGTACCCCCGCCAGTTGTTTTAACGCGGTGTCGGGCCTTATACTCAGGCACTAGCGTAGGCAGCGGCTCCCTGTTTGCTCAAGTTTTCTGTTAGTTCCGAAGCTGTTCATTGCTTTCCATACCCAAAACTCCCTGCTAATACTACGTTACAAAAACTGCGTCAGCTAACGCAAAATGGAGTGAATACGTACTCTGGAGGGTACACAAGGTATGAACACCATTTTGTGCCGGTACCTTGGCACTGCATTAATTAAAGTACTGTGTTCGTTTTTCTTTCTATAAATTCTTACCTTGGATGCCACAGTAACAAACAAAACCATGAAATTAACAACCTGGGTGAAGACAGAATTTTGCGACGCAAATACCGTGACAGTGCTTGTCACGCCATATTTTGCGTTGCTAGGGGCAAGAAGGGAAAGTCGAAGAACCAACGTGTCATTCATTCCCAAGGTGCCTTTCGAGGGATTTATGCTCTTGTAATACTCCAGGTCGTCCGATGCAGTGAAATACAAGGTTTGCGTGTCCCCGGAGTTTTTAACGTTAATTTCTACCTCTAAAGTTTTCCCGGGAATAATCGTGTTTGAGCTGTTTCTACCGTCCACATTCTGGGACAATTTAACGTCACCAAGAGTAAACAGAGTTGGCTTTACACGTTGAAAGCGAGCACCAGTCTTGTCTTTGCCTGTCAACTTGAGCCTGAATTTCTCTGGAGATGGAACAAAGGTAACGAAATAGGAGTTCTTGTAAGATCCTTGTGTCATGTTAAATGTTTGCAGGTCGGTTCCGTTCACGCCCACAAGTGTTAAATTGCTTGCTTTCTCTATTTCCTTACCAATGAAATCCACCGTAAGTAACAATGTTTGCCCTGTAAATGAGATTTTAGACGTCAAAAAGGAGGGTTATTGGCTGAAACGTAGTATAATCAACTTTCCTCATACGTCTGCTAGGCGTCGCGGAGACTTCATAAAAATTTAATCACGTATTCATGAACATAGCTGTGAAAACTGAAAATTATGAAAAGGCAAACGTTTATTTAAAAGAAATGAAAGAACGGAAAATCGTACTGTGTTCCATAGATTGTTAACATAACTTGCATTTTGTTATTGTTTTCGTCCATATTTTTGTCGTAAAATAGCCTGGGAGTTAACTTCGTAAGTTTCTCGTATGGTAGTGATGATGACTCACTTAACTACTTTTGATATATTTTTCTTTGCTTCGAAAATCCAATTTACTTTTTTTTAAAACAGCTGTTAACAAAACCCATTGATCAAATAGTCCTCTAGGAATCAATCATGGTACCTCTTAAGCTTCATCAAATAAAAGGTTTTACTGTTTCAGTTGAACACAAATATATGTTGTGGAGTGCCGGGATGGAAAAAAAGTAAAAAAATAAAAAATATTCTCAAAGTTACTTTTTTGAATGACTGTAAGGAGTTTGAGTTATAGGGACTGTGACGACACGTCAAATCCGCCATTTTGAATTTTGAGGCATCTATCTTGATTTTTAGCGTACGCACTGAGTTAAAAATGAAATCAGCAAAATATATTTTATTAACTTATTTATGAAAGTAATATATAGCGCTGATATCTATAAACATAGTCATTAGCAATAATTGTACTTAGTATAATGTTAAATTGTAATTAGCATTTTATTCACACACAAAAAATATGTCGATGAAGATTAAAAACAAACAGCTTTTAAGTTTAAGTTTAGTATAAGTTTGTCATGCTAATACAAGTAATAAATTACAGAAAATACAAAAAATGCATAAATGGAGAATAATTGGGGGAAACTAAATTCCCATACAAAGAATATTCTCCAACATTAAACATACTAAAAATTAAGAAGTAAAACTTAAATACGGCCCAAAACTAACTTAATTAAATTGCAAACTAAAACTGACACTAAAAGTTAAGAAGGAAAACTTAAATACGGCCCAAAACTAACCTAATTAAATTGCATACTTGTCACTCACGAGTTACACCTGATTTATTAAAATTGACACAAATGATCTAATACATTTAGATAGGACTTAAAACTGCTTAATGAAGGTGCATATATAATGTTTGATTGAAAAATGAAAATTTAAAGTAATTTGTGTGAAAACGCACCATGCCAAGAAAAACGTTGACATAAAATTGTTTTCAGATAAATTTTTAATTTGGGGGGAAAGTCAGAAAATTTGTTGGCTGTTCATTGAGTTGTTTAAAGTTTATGAATAGACAACCCACCGTGTAGGCTAAATAGAGCTCGCAATAAATTTGTTTAAGCAAAAAAAAGTCTAAACAAAAAGGGGCTTTTTTACTTACTTTCCGTACGTACGGCCTACTTGCATGTTCCCTTACCTCTCAAAGGATTTCCTACGACACGCCTTGTAGTTCCTCGTTCCAGGTCTTCTACGTCTAACAGTTGGTAAGTGAAGTCAAGAGGACTGGAGCCGGTAACTTGGAGCGTGTATGGTCCAACACAGGAAACTGCAAGCTTTAGGGTCCCGCTAATCAAGTTACTAGCTTCTGTAATAAGAAGCTTATTTGACTGGGTTACGGTTTTGAGTAGCAATGAATTTCCTGTGAAAAAATATCAGGGCAAAATTGAAGGTTTGAAAATAAAAACGCATGAAATGCGCCTGTCTAGGAACAACACTCAGCGTGCAGTCTCCTGGGAAGTTACTAAACAATTACAAGTAGGAAGAGGGTAAAAAGGGCCGTTTACCCTCCTTTCTTCACCTCCTGCATATATTTCTTTAAAACCACTGCCAATCATCTAGGCAAATATTACTGAAACAATTGTTCAAGTAATAAAATGAGTGTATGAAGGAAGTAGATATGAATCCCGACCTAAAGTAATAGGTACTTTAGTGACTCCGTCTATATTTGGTATACAGTCGTCTTTTAATTTTTAGTCGATTGTTTTGGTATTTTCGTGATAATTTTGGGAAGCAAGGGTGGCGCAGTGGTGAGAGCACTCGCCTCCCACCAGTGTGGCTCGGGTTCAAATCGCCGTTTCGACACCATAATTGGTTCTCTTCTCCAGAAGTTTTTCTCCAGGTACTCCGGTTTCCCCCTCTCCTTAAAAACCAACACTTCCAAATTTCAATTCGATCTAAAACGCACGGACACGTTTAAACGAGTTGATATAAGAACTGCTAAGGGCTTCGTGGGTAATGAAATTACAATTTACTTTTGTAAAGTTGCTGTTGAAATACATATATTTTTTTATTACCATAATTATTCAAGGGGGTTTAATTACTTTACATACCTTCCTTAGTTTTGACATCTAAGCTTGGCGAATTCGCTGCCGTTAATATAAAAACCAAGCGTTCTAACGTGCTGTCTACATCCACGAAGTGAACTTGACCACTGAAGGACTGAGTTCGAGTTTCCTTCATATTCAACAACTCCACTTTTCTGAGGGCAACAGATGAGTTAGATGAACCTCCACTATCAATAACTTCAACAACCTGAGCTACTCCGGCCTTGCTAGTTTCAAGCACTTGTCCACCTGTTTGGGCAGCGATGGCCTGGTACAGGGCTTGACTTTGAGCATTTCTCCTTGTACGGTGACGGCGAGACTCTCTAAAGTTCAACAATTGATCCGATTGCTGGGCATCTCGCTTTTTTCGCCGACCGCATTCACCGGATAAAATCAAATTAATCTTGACTTTTTTCTCCTTAGCCAGGGACATGATTTCCCTTTCTCTATGCTCATCTTTCACATCTGCGTCTGAGAAGTAATAAATGATGGTCTCCGGAGGACAGTGGAGAAGGGCCTGGTAAACACCCGTCATGCCTAGTTCGGGGCAGTCCCCGCCTCCAGAAGCGGTTAGGTTGTTAACTGCGTCGATCACTGTGTTTGCATCACTTGTTACTGTAACAGGACCCACCTCTATAAAGGGAAAGAGTAACGTTGTAAATAACAATGGACTAGATTAACGGCAGTTTTATAAAGCTGATCGTTATTTTACTGCNCAGGGGAGTACGACCATAAAGCGTGCGTCACAAGTGTAATAAGGAAAAGCTAGTGTAAGGTCCACATGTTTTTTGTTCTTCTTATCTTCGCCTTGTTGGATGATGAGCGGTAAATGTTGATAAATCAGACGACTTACCTGGATCGCTGAAAGGCACAAGAATGTACGTGAAAGATGCTCCTTTCTTTTGTAAAGTTCGCTGAACAAAATCGATCGATACTCTTTTCACCTCGCTGATTTCATCTGGCGCAAACAAAATAGAAAGCGAGTTATAACCACATTATTCCGCAAGTCTCAAGACCCTAAATAGTAAAATTGTGTACTGTGTTGTATGTTGTATGTTGTAACGAGCGAGCCAGCCACGAAACTACAAACTACTTACTCTGGGATTGTAATTTTTTTTGTCCTCCAAATTTGGCTTCTATTCGTTGTAAACGCTTCCAGCCTGACTAAAAATGTAGCCTGGGGGGCGGTCTCCAAAAATTTTTTTTTGGCCCTTCAGGCCTTCGTTTGGTCTAAAATTAAGGGGCCGGTCCCCCCCTGGATCCGCCACTGGCTTTGGCACATTTCTGTCGTATGACTGGAGTCATTGTAAGTCCAAAAAGCCATACTGTTTTACAATCGAGGCCCAGGCCTACTGGTCCACCCAAATATCCAACCAAAAATGATAGCCACAGGGGAGTTTTATTTAAGCTTTATACTTTTTGGCATAAAAAAGGAATCATTATTTTTAACTCACCGCTCATGCTCCCAGATACATCTATCACTAACGCCATGGAATTCTCTGACTTCAGGTTCAGAAATTTTGCGAAGATGTCATCACCAACAGTAGAGCGAATGTCACTCAGGAATATGCTGGTGGCTTCAATAGCAAGGTCAGCGGCAATTTTATGCAAGCTAAAAAAAAAAAACAGGAGAAAGAAGAAGAGAGGTAACACATTTAATTAGCTGTGTGTAGAATGCTCTTATATTAAACCTCGTTCCCAGGATTTTCTCCTTCTCTTCCCTCTCTTGTTCTCTCGTTTCGTAGGGACGAGTAATAGAGAACCCTGGGAACGACTTTGTCTCGATACCTAGCGATCGTTGAATTGAGCTTTCGAATGATAAGAAGATGTTGGAGATGAAGGGGTTATCCGTCTCTAAGAACAGCTGTTTCGTATTCTTCCCCTCTTCCCCTTCTTCCCATGACCCCATCTCCACTCCCCCCCCCCCCCCCCCCCCCCCCCCCCCCCCCCCCCCCCCCCCCCCCCCCGTCACCCACCCCACCCACCACAACAAGCACGCATTGTAAGTGCGACACCTCTCGCACACGACCATTAAGTCAGAAGCAGCACACATCCCACTATCACTCTGCCAGATGTACTG